TGAGCCATGGATCTATACTCAGCCTCTGCACTTGACCTTGCCACAACCGCTTGCTTCTTACTCTTCCAGGAGATCAAGTTTCCACCTACAAAGGTACACACTCCTGATGTAGACCTCTTGTCATCTAAGCATCCTGCCCAGTCTGCATCTGTATAGGATTCTAGCTTCAAATTCTCATGATTTTAGAAAAGAATGCCTCTGCCAGGGTGTTTTTTTAGATATGCAAGTTTTCTCTCAATAGCTTCCCAGTGTTGAACCCAAGGTGCATGCATGTATTAACTCACAACACTGACAACATAAGAAATATCTGGTCGTGTCATACACAATTACAGCAGTCGGCTCACCATTCTTTGATATCTCCCCACATCCTTTACCAATTCACCATCCACACCATTAATTCTGTGATTTGGATCAATAGGAGTGTCTGBTRGTTTSGTYCCCARCTTCCYAGTCTCTCGYARTAGGTCAAGTACATACTTTCTCTGTGAAATGAAGATCCGATGATTGGATCTTGCAACTTCAATCCCTAAGAAGTATTTGAGCTCACCAAGATCTTTGATCTCAATTCTTGCTGCAATGATTTTTTGAGATCATCAATCTCCTACAGATCATTTCCTATCACCACTATATCATCCACATACACAATCAAAATTGACACCAAAGCATCTCTCCTCTTCACAAAGAGGGTGTGATTAGACTGTGTCTGTGTATATCCAAAACGGATGAGTGCCCCTCTGAACCTGCCAAACCAAGCCCTAGGTGATTGTTTCAGTCCATACAGAGATTTTCGGAGTCTGCACACCTTTCCTTTACCAACATTTTCATCAAAGCCTGTTGGAATGTCCATATATACCTCCTCCTGTAAGTCACCATTGAGGAAAACATTTTTGACATCAAGTTGGAACAAGGGCCATGAATAGGTGGCTGCTAGAGATAAAAGAATACGAACTGAACTCATCTTAGCTACCAACCTTGCCTTGTACCTCTCTATCTTGCCATTGGCCTTATACTTCACTATGAATACCCATCGACATCYGAYTGTCTCCYTGTCTGGGGGGAGATCAACTATTTCCCAAGTTTGGTTTTTGACCAAAGCATCCATCTCATCTTGCATGGCTGTTTTCCACTCAGGTTTGGAGAGAGCCTCAGTAACATTCCTGGGTATAGACACAGAATCCAGGGAAGAAAGAAAAGTACAGTAGGAGGGTGATAAGGCATTGTAGGAAAGATGGTGTGAAATGCAGTGGGTTGTACACTTTCTCTTCCCCTTATGAAGTGTAACGGGAAGATCAAGGTCAGTGGGATCAGTAGCAATAATGGTGTTAGGGACAGAAACTTTATCATCAGAAAACATAACAGGCTCAAGAGGAATACCTGGAATTGTATCTGCTGAATCTGGAGTTTCAGAAGGACTAACAGAGAATGGTGTGGGTCGAGGATGCGTGGAGTCAACCATCATCTGCCAGCGCTGATATTGCTATGAGGCTGCCTGTAGTGGCTCAGGTAATGAAACTGGAGGTGCAGGTGCTGGCTGAACAGATGGTGCAGGTAGTGGCTGAACTGATGGAGGCACCACAGAAACAGGAAGAGGAACAGATTGTGAGTTCTCCTCCCCAAAACTCTCCCCCCTGAGGAGAACCACTCGAGAAGAAGAATGTGGATTCAGAAAAGGTAACATCCATGGTGACAAATCTGCTCCTCGACATTGGGTCATAATAGCAATACCCCTTTTGGTTCTGAGCATACCCAATAAAAACACATTTCTTGGCCTTAGGATCCAATTTCTTGCGATGAGGGCCAAGAATGTGAACAAAAGAAAYAYARCCAAAAACCCTCAGAGGTATATGAAATATCTCTCCATCTGGAAAAATGATGCTAAATGGCACCTTAAACCCCAAAGTCCGTGAAGGAACACGGTTAATCAC